ATAACACGTAATAATAATAATAATAATAAAAGCGGAAGTATTGGGATGAGGCACCCTGTTTCACTGCCGTATTGCAAAACAAACATGTCTCATCATCTTTCGCCCATCAAATTCCTCCGTCTGCGTCCGGCTGTCTTTGTGGTGACGTATTCAAACGTGTGTGTGACTCCTCATGAAAGCAGCAATGTCGTGGGTCCAACTACAAAGAGATAACACGCAGCAACACTCCTCAGCAGGTGCACACTTGCACATAAGCCGTCAGACCACGAGGCTGGTAAAATATAATACGAAGAAAAGAAAGAAACACCCAAACGAAAAAAAAAGGAAAAAAAAAAGAATGGAGCTTGAAGGTATTTCTATATTGTCTATGATGCTGGATGCAATGCAATCCTCTGCTCTGTGAAGTCACTAACGTAGTTAGACCCAACACAAACAAATGCATACGCGTATGCATATAAATATCAAAAAGAACCGAATAAGTGCACCACTCCCTGATTATACCGCATATGCTTCTATGATAATGGGAATGACGAAGCTGTCATGCTCCCCAGTGTATAGGTGTTGGCGATACAGAAGTGGGACACACGTGCGCCCCACCACCTTAGCACACACATACACACACATAAAAAAAAACACGCACACACACAAGGGCACAACCCCTCTATCTTAATGGTGGGTGCAGTCCACTTCTCCGGTATTGAGCTTTGTCATCCTTGGACATGGCCCCGGCAGGCACGACGTTCTTCACGGCATTGTTCACATTCTGCAGCCAAATGCGCACACCAAAGATGCGGTAGAGTTCGCTGTTAAGATGCCGAAAGTCAATGGAACGGGAGGACTCATAGTAAAAGCTGATCTTCTGCTGGTCAAACTGGTACTCACAGTCCACCACATCCATTTCAAGCCCAAGACGTGCGACAATCTCGCGGCATGTCTTTAGCGCAAGATTCTCGTTCCGGGAAATCTCACCAAAGAGGCGCTCGACCTCCTCCTCACTTGCAACTCGCAAAACACGACTGATATCGGACTTCATTCGGGCAACATTCACCACCGTGTCGTCCAAGCTCTCCTCGCGAACAAAGCAGCCCTTTTCCGCACTCCACTCGCTGCACTGGTTCACAACACCGCAGTCATACCCCCGGTCACCCTGTACTATGGCGTACTGGCCTGGGACAATAAAAACATTGCTCTCGCAGCGCTTCACACGTTGGCATTTGAATTCCACCAAGAGAATGAAACAGTCATACGTTGGCCAACTATGCTGGTCGGCAACATGCCCCCCACCTGAAGCCGCGAGGGCAAGCGAGGGAGACTTCTTACGATTATAGGGTTTTGCCTCCATCTCCCTTGGCGCCTCCGGAGTTGGTACTCCGGATGTTGTTGTGTCAGTCAGCTGAGAATCCCGAGCGGCATCGCCCCAAGGCGGATGGGTATGTTGTTGTTGAGTAGCAACGTTAACAGCAGAGGCCACTTTTTTCTCCTCCTTGTATAAAGCAGAACGCAGGGCTTCTGGAGACTCCACCAAGTGCCTTGGAAAAGACGACTGCGACTGCTGAACCACAAGCGCAGATAGCAAATCATGTATGGCGTCAAATTTATGCGAGAGCTCATCCACCTTTCTTGACAGTTCCTCAATGATGGCACAAGTTACGACGGGCATCCCCTCGGACTTGTGTGTTTCAGTCTGCAAAGCAGCCCGGCGCTTGCTCGGTGCCTTATTTGTCACATCCTGAAATGAACCTGACTCCATGTCCTGCAATTGCTTCAAACTCGCCACTTCTTTAATGCATAAAAGTCAACACAAGGCAGGAAGAGTATGCATAGACCAGAAAGGGACAGTCACCTCTGCCCAACAATGGGCACAAGACGGCGCAATATATATATATATATATATATATTCAAAGAAACCAACTCTATCCTCACCACAAACAGAGGTACAACAAGCAGGTAATATATATGAAGAAATATCATCCGAGACATTCTCATGGGGGCCCAGTCACACCTTCCATGCAGAACCTTCCCAACTGCCCATACATCCATAAAACACTGTAATGTGTTCAATGGAACATGGAGGTGGTTACTTGCATCCCACTTTCTCCCTCTGACAGGTAAAATGGTTGCGTTGAGTCTACCTCAGCATCGTCGTTGCCTTCCGCCGCAAAACCAATCCAAAAAAGGAGAACATCTTCAAGGCGCTGCATTAGTGCAGCTCGCCTCTTTGCATGCGAGACCTCATCCCCCAATAGCGGAGGTTGGATTGTTTTGGTCACTGGTGTCACCTCTGCAAGTTGCAGGAATGGTTTATCCGTGTGAAACGAGGCAGCGCTCTCCATGTGAAGATAAACGCCGGACAGTCGCGCCACGTGGAAGTATAGCAGCTCGACATCCAACTCGGAGGTGTCAAAGGGCACCTGCACACCATACAAACTCTCCAACGCGGGACCCAACTCCTGTTTCCAGAACTGCTTTGCTTTGGCGCCTGAAGATTGCAGCAGCCCCAGGAGGAATTCCTGACAGACGGTCTTCACCTCATCCTCTCCCTGCGCTGTGCGGCGGAGCTTTTCTCGAAGCAGCCGCACCGCGGTTCGTGCAATCATCTCAACCTCACAATAATGTGCCACGGCAAAACGGGCCGCCTGCGGAATACGATAATAAACAAATGGAAGGAAACGCATATTGAGTCCATGTGCATGGAAAATTGTGGTAACGGATGGCTGGAGTAAAAGACCCTTTGGCCCCCGAGCCGTGGTGCCACATTTCACAGCATTGCTGAAGAGACGCGAGTTCTTCCTCTCTTCTGACAACCGCTGTGTGTAGCAGTGGGAGCAAATACAACAGCACCTGTCGATACTACGGCACACCACAAAGCGCAGCTCATTCTCCATCATGCGAGCGCACAGTGTACACGGCACTGGGTCTTGTCGAGGAACGTCAACCGCCTGATGAAGGCCAATAATTGCCGCTACAGCAGGGATCAACGCATCCCGCACCCACTCTGTTGCCTCCATCACATCCGCGTTATCTTCCGGACTCGCCGCGTTATGCACAAAAGCATGTGGACTCAAAGGTTTACCGTATGAAAGCAAAAATTCGGGCCTAAAACGCAACGTCGCCGCTCCATCGGCGTTGTCTTTGCCACTAATAAGTAATTCACAAGTCGGAAGAAAGGGCGAGGTGATCACGACATACAGTCGCTTATCGTGACCCGCCACAACCGGCATGCCTAGCGGCATTGCAACCGGAATCACATCCCCCGTGGCCAGCTTCACATTTTGCTTCTTCAAACCAAGCGCCTGTCCCAGATCCTGCAGCTGGGACTTGACGAGCTCCGGTGTGTCCAGAGCGTATTCCTGCTCCTTCAGAGAGACAAGATGCACAATATTTTTCACCTCAAGCGGAGGAATACCCATCACAAGGCAGCGGAAACCGCAAAAGGTAATCAGAGCACTTGGCGGGGAATAAAGTAGGCGCTTTGAACCCTCCAACGCAATAAGCCGCATCGCCTGTATAACTTGCGACGCCTGTCGCCATGCATCTGCGTCACCGTTGTAATTCCCACTTCCATCATCAAGGACAAACCTTACAAGAAGATTATTGTAAAGAAACGAGTCAAGGGTGCCATGTATCGGCCCCTTCGTCACACGATCTGAAGGGGGACGCTGCATGTCTGTAATGACCTTGAGCGCCGCCTCTTCAGCGGCCTTTACAAATTCTCGCATAAATGTATGCAACTCATCACTAGCAGAAACGCTCTGGTCCCATCTCCCAAACAGTATCAGCTCGACGAGACGTTGATACTCTGCATTCCAATTTGGTCCCTTGTTGCACACGGCAGATAAACTGCGCCAGCCCTCCTCCAAGAGCCGTAGCTCACGCAGAACAGCATCATTTGATGGAACAACCCTTGAATTCACCTCCACTGGGATCACAGCACGACGCAGCACGGCTGCCTCGTTCTGCCAGTCAGGCTCAGAAGATCCCTGGGCAACCACACCCTTATCATACACCCTCTGCCATCTCGCGTAGTCGTCATGAGTTACTATTTCCCTCACAGTCGACAAAAGTGCCCAGACAGTGCCACCCTCAGACGCCTTCAAAGCAACCCACCAGCTTCCGAATGGATCCATGTAGCGTTGAAGCTCGCGGATAACGGTGCCAGACGGCACCTCACCGACCACGTCACCGAGCGGTCCGTGGTAGAGTGGAGCAGTGTCCCCATGCAACTGCCAGTAGATGGGCGCTGCTCGCCTCGCCGCGCCCACGGAGGATTGCAACGGCACCGATGTATTGCGACCACGCGCCGCCAATTTCCGCCTGTCACTCCCCTGCTTGAGGGGCGGGAGTCGCACCATACGGAGAGGAAGGGGGGCAAACACAAAACTCCTGGCTACGTATTACAAGGAAAGGACCCACGTAAGGGAAAAGAACACAGGAAGTAAAGAAAGAGCGTCCCCAGGACCCACAAAAAAAAAAAAAAACATTACCCGCCACGCCGCGTCCTGAAGGCGGCCCCACCTCTGCCAGAATTACTGGAAACACGCGTTCAGGGAGATGAGGCTACTGGAGAACGGAAAAAAATAAAAAAGAGAAGCTGCCCACAAACGCATATCCCTCCCCTTGCACACTCACTCGCGAGCCTTTGGGAGCTGTGAATGATGCAGCGCCGCACACCCCACAATGAACACCAGTGACCGTGGTTTCCTCCACGATCAACACAAGGTCGTAAGGAAAAAAAAAAAATCGGCCACCTACAACCAACGCACACACACACATACACACACAAGGCAGCCTCAAACAATTCAGTTGTTGCTCCCCCAGCAGCAGCATGATAACCAGAACTTTCGCTAAACTCCACGTGTCTAAAACTGTTCCTCTTTTCTCCGCGAAATCCACAGTTGCCACGCCCACACTTTCTCGCACACTGAGCGGTACACGTCTCTCCAGGCTTCACAAGCACTGCAAGGAACAACATTCCACAAACAATAACTTTTACCTCCTCTCGGTTACAAACACAACGCTCAAGTAAAAAGCAAGAAGAAAAAAAAAATCGAAAACTCAACGGAGAAAACGTGAATCAATCATACATGGGACGAAAAAGACATGTTACTCAAGCAAAACCAAAAAAGAAGACCAAGAAAAAAAAAGTGTTGCAGACAACACAGAAAGCACTCAGGACCCTGCCCAACTCACACCATGGAGCACGTCTGCGCCATTCCTGCAGGTTTGGCAAGTTGGTTTAGAAATTCATCCTCCATCACTTTTCCTGTCATAAGTTTTCTGCAGTACGCCTCACTCACTGCAGCTGACGTTGAAAGGCCATCGCCGAGGAACTGGCGAACATCCACGTTGTATTCCAGGACCATCTGTAGACGCAGCTGCTGTTTTGTCATGCGAACTGCTGGGCGCGGTGGTGGGGCACTTTTATTGCGTCTCTGAAACGCATTAAGGGCCTCCGCCTGCGACTGCAGCATGCTTGAAACATACTTCCACAAAAAGCAAAATAAAGCCACGACGTCTTGCTCACGCAGTGGCAAAGTTTTTTTGGTCTTGGAGACTGTTGTATCAGGTGTCGTTGACGTCTGCGCCTCCGCCTCTCTTTGAGAAGACACAAGAACCGTTTTGCCCCTTTCCGAGTCCTTTTTCTCCTTTACAGACTTTATTTGTGTGGATGCACGCACCAGACGATCCTTCAGGACGCCAAATGCCATCTGCATAAACACATGGTGAGAGAGAGAAACGGGGATGGGATCCCCGACGACCAAGAAGTTTGGGCACTGACCCGCAGACGATTCCGGGTCCCGCTCGTACCACAGAAGAACGTAATCGCAGCGCAGCGTGTTTTGTAGCCGCTGCTGTTCATAAAAGTAAGGCGATGGACCACGATTCCTCCGCCGCGGCGAGGCATGCGGGTGCGGTTGCTGCTCTTGTTCTCGCGAAGTCCTTTCCAACTCCGGCAAGGCCGGCTGTGCCATGTTCGTCATTTCCAAGAAACTTACCGAGATATCTGCAAGGAAAAACAGCAGCCAGAAAACGCACCAATGAAAGCAAAGCCCTTCCCTGCCTCAGCTCTACACTCTCTCTTGGCCGTGCGGCTAAAGCAATACCTCTCCCGCGACACACGCACATACACGATGGAGTGAAGACCAAAAAAGACAACACCAAAGCAACGGATGGGCAGGAAAGCAAATGGCGTCGGCACACACACACACAGACAGCGGCACTTTATTATCAGATATGTTACCCAGTGAAAAAAAACGGAGGTATAAAAAAAAAAGCGTTCTCATTTTAATTCCATCGAGTTCTTCTCGCTTGCAACAGCTTTACATGGGAATGGGGCCTGTAACAAAGTATGAGGACCACGTGGATTCCCACTAACTTCCACGCGGGGAACTCATGTCACCGTCCAGCATCATAGCAAACTGTTGCTGTAGATCCCTCACCTGATTTTCCAGCCTCTTTTGCATTTTTTGACATGAAGAAGAAGGCTGGCCATCGTTCACATCCCCCCACTCTGGTAACGACAACTGTTGTTGTTATTGTGGATGTGTTGCGGCCGGTGGCGACCGGGCCAGAAAAACTTTTTCAAAGGGGTCAAAAAAAGTTCCGACAGTTGACCCATTCGCTCGCGAAGGAAGTAAAGGGCTCCACACACGCCTCTCACGGGGATCCTCCACTGTCCCCTCTTCGCCCCGCATCGGCATGTGTTCAGCCAAAAAAAGAGCATCCAGCATGTCATGATGTTGCCTGCCGTCCTCATTCAACTCAGGCAGAGAACCAAAAGTGTCCACACCAACGGGGTTGCCCGCGGCGTGACGCGTCACAGAACTGCCGCAGTCTCCGGTAAAATCCCTCCCCGGCTGGTTTGGTGTGGCCGACATAAAAGCAAAGGCGCTGCCCCGCGCCTGTGCCCGTGTCGCGTGGGATAATCCCCCAAAAAGACCAGGCATACAACTTCTTGTTGAATCCGACACTTTGCTCACGGTGTCAAAAAGCATTAGGTCCGGTGGCATGTGGCTAGTGCACTGTGTCCCCTGCCGCTGCGTTCCCTGCTCCTGCGGACCGCCCATGTTGCCTTCTTGACTCTGCGCCTTCATCACGTTCTTATCCTTCGATCCTCGTGGCTGTAGTTGCAAATCATCCAACTGCAAGACCCCTGTTGCCGCGGCTTTAGCTGCTGGTCGCACTTGTTTCTGTACGGAGGCGTCGGGAGGTTTGTAAAACCGTTTTTGTTCGTACTTTATGCGAATCCACTTGAACAGCAGCTCGGAGTCCTCCGTCTCTAGTGGCTTTCGGTGGCCTGCAGGAATCCTCGCCTCCCAGATTGCCTTAGCTTTCACATTGCCCATTGACTGCATAAAGGCGACCTGCTCCGGCTCCCAAAAGTCCATGGTGCAGCTCTTCACTTTGCTCACGTGAACGCCGAGCTGCCGGTGCAGTCCGCTGCACCGCAAGCAAAGAAAGACGCCCAAGTTGGTGCTTGCCCACGTCGGATTCCGTGCCTGGCAGTCCATGCATTCCTGGTTCTCCTCCAGCCGCAGCAATTCACACAGCACGCGGTGGTGTCTCTCCCGCACCGCCTTTGATTGTGACGGCATGGAGGCCATGGCTTCGTCTACCGCCACGTTCCCCCACACGTCCCTGCGAGAGGAAAAGAAACGGGGGAGAAGCAACAGCAATAGAAACGAAAAAAAAAAAAAAGCAAGTGAAAAACGTGTCGCACGTCAAAAAGAGCAGGTCGACAAGGAAGAGAGTAAAAAATCCCACATACTCAGCACACACAAAACTGCCAAGAAACAAAAAAAAACAAAAAAAACAAAAAAACAAATAAAAAGACGAGAAAGTCCACTACAATATGGTGTCGGTTTGAATTTGTTCTCTTCCCCCTTCCAACGGTTTGTCTTTTTTTTATTTATTTGTGCATGTTCATTATTTATATTTTTCTTTTCCCTCCCCATTTAGTGCCCGAGATACCGCGTCCCTTTTGAGCTCATCAGTTTTTTCTTCCCCTCCCGACTACTCCAGCCACCCCCTATCCCTCGTTTGCAGCTGCCCCGGAAAACACAAAAGAAAAAAAAGAAAAAGAAAAAAAAACATTCACTTTTGCTTCCCCTACTCCGTCCTGCGTTTGGCATCATGCGCTGCCCATATAGGCTCCTTCGCGTCTACATGTGGGCAGGAGGTGGCGGGAGGTCATTCGTGGAGGCGACGAACAATACACAACTTCCATCCGCCTCGCACGTTAACGTGCCGTATGGAACTGCAAAACAGTCGCCTTTGGTCACCGGCGTCCCATTCACGACACCCTTACCGGCCACACAGAAGCCCAACCCAACGCTGGGAAGCTGGACACATGTTTTGCCTTTCGTCTGTGCCACATGCTGCAGGCGATAGAGAGAAAACTCGGGAAACCGCGCCGGCGGGCAATAACGTTGTACCTCCCATGATTCCTTTCCGGCAGCCCGATGACGCTCATACTTTGCCCGCTCCAAGCCATCGGTATTATAACGTAGCATCCCCAGCAACGTGGGAACATCCTTCCATTTTGGTGTCAGGCCAGCACGCACAACATTGTCACTACTGGCCATAACCTCCACGCCATCTCCGTGGAGATACGCATGTGGTTCACTGTCCTCCAAAAACAGACCCTGACCGGGCTCCATCTGCACGTAGTTAAGGAAGTACACCATCCAGCACCCAATATCATCTGGATATTGTGACATAAGACGCAGAAAGAGACGATCTTCCATGGAAGCCGCCTCGCCCTTTACTCTCACAGCCGCCGCATGTTCTCTGAGAGCCTTCGTCTGCAACTCGGGATTCACATCATAAACAACATGCATCATGGCCTTGATAACACTCGTTTCCTTCTCCTTCGTTGAGACAGTGGTGACCTTTCCAAGCAGCGACTTCAACGGCTTTGCAGATTCCACCAGACGAAGAATTTCATGTAACGGGCGAAAGCAACAAAGGGCCTCAAATCGTGTAAGTGCCACAAGTAACTCTGGTTTGTGGTTCGGGTCCTTGTATTTGCTGGGGTTTTCGCGGTGCAGCTTTACTGCCAATTGCTTACAGGGGTGCGCCTGTATAGAAAGCGCCGTCTGGACCGATAGCACTTTGAGCAGGAACGGCACCTTGTCGCGGAACTCCGCTGTTCGTTGCTGTGCTGGGGAGAAGAAGCGCGTGGCGACGCTCGGTTCGCGGAGATAATCCTCCAACAGCTGCCCGGATTGCAGGTGTGAGGGACAATTCACGTGCGTCCCAACCCACAACTCCGCGTACCTGCGGGTGTCATCCGTCTCATGCTTCATCTTCGCCACAAAACTCTCCGAGGCGGTCTTCCCCCAGGCGTAGTGCTGAACGCCGCAATCTAACTTCACGTAACCCGTCATCGTGCTGTTGTCTTTGAAAAGAGGATGGAAGCGGCTAGTAAACAATTTTTTTCTTTTAAAAAAAAACTGTTTTATATTTAGCTACACACAGAGAGAGACGCAGGGAAAACCCACAGGAGCGTAAAGAAGCAGCGGCAACAACAAAAACCGCAATCAGCCGCAGCGGCCGACCACGTCTTTAAAAAATCAATGCAAGACATACACATATATGTGTATATTATTACTGCTGCCTTTCAGTTCACCCGGTAGCCCTTGGAGAAAAGAGGGTGTGTTACAGGCGGAGAAGCAAAAATGAATTCCCGTGAAACCTCCCAAAGTGTTCAACAACAAAAAATAATTTTTAAAAAAAACACGCCAATTCAAAAAAATAAAAAGAAAAGGAGAAAAAAAGAGTCAGAAGTAAAAGCAAAAATAAAAAAAAACATTAAACCCCCTCCAAACAGGCACACCAGCACTTCATCAGCATTCACCACCAAACATTCTGCGTGGTGTTTGGACATCTTTGATTAATGAACGCCATTTCTGTTTCATGCGCCCAGAACAACGACGCCTCCACTCTGCGCTGAACAACGAAAAATATGGCAAAGGCGTAGACAACTTGGCAGCTCCCTCAGGTAATAGACGCTGCTCCTTTACTTTGTGCGTTCGCTTCCACGTAGTCCACTTCGCCGCCACCTCGGCCACAGGCGGAATACCGGACATAAAACGCAGAGCACCTCTGTTAACAGAGACCATGCGGGGCGAGACATTGATCATTCGAAACTGTGAAAATCGTTTCACACGGCTTGCAGCAACGTATATGAGGTGATCGCAGGGGAAAAAACCGCTGCCGTCAAAAAGAACCGAGTGGTCAAACGTCAGTCCCTGAATCTTGTGAACTGTGTAGGCGTACGCCGGGGTGAGAGGCATGACCGTGATGCGCACCACACAGATGCCCTCGCGCCGTTCCGATTGCAGCGGAAGGGAAATCCACGGGATGGCCACTTCCTTGCCATCCAAGTCCATCCGCACAACGGGAACAATCGTCCCTGCATTGTCATTGCTGCCGGTCCCCTGCACCGCCCGCGTCGGAATATGTATGCGGTTCGGGTGTCGCTTCGAAGACTTCAATGAGGAATACTGCTTCGGTGACAAGAGCACTTTGAGATTCATGGGAAGAAGGTGTTCAACGTGACGCAGCTCCTGGAAGCTGACAACAGTCCCAAGTGAGCCGTTCACATAACTTTGGTTGAGGTTACGCAGCAGCATGACGCGGCATCCCACCTTCAGTCGCTTGTGCTGCAACACGGGATCGCGTTGCATAACTTTGGCATATCGCCGCTCTAGTGAGAAACGAAGAAAACGCTTCAGAAAGTCGATCTTTCGCGTTTCCCAAAGAATTGTTCCCCAGTGTTTACGGGCCGCCGCGGCATCCTTTGAGTTGGCGAGAAATTTTTCGCCAATCACAGATCGCAGCGCATCCATTGAAGCCATTGCCACCCGCTTCTTAGATCCAACGAAGCAAACATACACGGATAAGTGAGGCGAGTAACGTGCAGGGGCGGGAGGTATCATAATCCGTACATCACCGCATTGTTTGCACTTCGAGCATAACTGGCGTAACAATTCCTCCGCCTGGCGCCGCCACTTCGCAGAGCTCATCGGTTTGTTGCGGAAGTGAATCACGAGCAAGTCAGGGTAGGCCCTTCCACCGCCCGTCCTGCACCCCCTCGTGGGTGTCGCCGACCCACTGCAAGTCGTCACCTGCAGCTCACTCTTAAAGTAGCGTTCCTCACCGTTTAACTCAAGCATTTTTAAAGCATTGAACGCCGCCACGGCCCTTTTCACTGGAAACAGTCGGATGGCGTTAGGGTCCTCGGGGTTGTGCAGAGCAGAGCGCGACAACCGGTGCGTCAGAACCCCAAAACGAAGCTTGTTCAAGTCCTCAAGATAAGACGGGTCATCCATCTGACGCACGGGCTCCTGCAGCCGCAGATGCAGCAAACAGTGCTGAAAAACAGGGCTTTCGTAAGCCGGACAATCACAATACTGATGCAAAAACAGGCGGCGGTTCTTCACAGAGGAAATACCATCTTCACGTTGAATATGGTGCCACGAACCTTCACGGGGACACGCCTCTTCTGCCAAAAGGGTGTGCTGCTCCGGCCCTTGCAAAATCCCCATGGGTGCAGCACCCTTTTTTTCCACACCTGTGCAGAAGATACGATCGCCCTTGTCCCTTAACCACAGACGACCGTGCATGAGTTGCAAGAAGTCACCGGAAAGTATAACTTGGATTCCACCAAATGGTTGATGTTGGGATCTCCCAGGAGCTGCGCGGGCCGCCAAGTCCAAAGCTTCAATATGGCCAGCATGCAAAAGTGACACCTCATCCACGATGATAACATCCAGCAGCGCCAATGACTCGGGATCATACCAAATGTGGGATGCCGCCTCAGCCACCGGTGTCTCCTTATCATCGTCAGAGGTGACAGGAACACCAAATGTGCTATGAAAGGTATTCCCATTAATTCCAAGTGCAGCTATACCTGTGGATGCCGTCACGGCCACATTTAAACCTTTTGCTTCAAGTTCTTCTGCTATGCAGCGCAGCAAAAAGGACTTTCCTGTACCAGCATCACCACCAATAAACAAAGGAGCTCCATCCAATGCAAGCTGAAGCACGGCCCGCTGCTCTGCAGAAAGACACTTCTCCGCCGTTTTTTTGCCTTCTTCTGCGCAAGTCTTTTGTCCATCCTCCCTTGATCCATCGTCTTTCCCAAAATCCGGAATTTTACCAAATAACTGAGACGCATACGGTAGTTGTGATGATTGATTTTTATCGTGCATCAGGCAAGACGGGCTCCTCACACCAAAGACACCTCCACACGGTGCCATACCGCTTTGGCTCCCATGCGTGTTAGCTGAGATGATCACTTGGTGAGCTTCACTGCGGATGCGCTTCTGCAGCAATTCGGGCAAAGAAGCGATGCTTCGTCGCAACAACACTCTTGTGGCTGCAAACACCATGATGCTATTGTCTCTGGGTGCAAAGCAAAGGAGCCAACAGAAAAAAAAAAAGGTTTAAAAACGCAGATGGTAGGTTTGCATTTACCGATTCCATTGAAAATGTAAACAAGGTGCCCAACCACGGGTTCCTCGGCATATTTATTCAACGGAGATTCCAAAAAGAACAAAAATAAAATAAAAAACATATGATCTAGTCATAAAGGACATATCTAATAGGCAATTCCACCTTACTGCTTCGTGGCGGCACGCCCGGCAGATGAGGATTGACGCAACGGCAACGACCGTGACGACGACCTCGTAGAGGCTGATCTCTGTGCACGTGATTGCCTCTTGCCGTTTAGTTTCATTGCGGAGGAAGAACGTAGTTGAAGATTGGCACGTAGCTCAAGAAGCTGCTTGTGTTCATCATGTGAAAGGTAGATGGAGTGGCATCGCGCTTCTGGCAGTGCACTCTCCCCTGTTTCCCCACGGGACACGATAATGCCACGCAAGCGCATAAGCGCAAATACCTCCGCGCCTGTCAACACATCCAACACAGTTCTTTGAGGAGTCGTTTTGAGCGGAAGTGCGGGTTGGGCAACTCGGCAAGGACTTTCCTGCCGAGAACCAACGACGCTAGAACGACGCGGTGTCTGGAGAGGTTGCCTCTGGGATGAGCGATTCGCGGAGCCCTCGCTGTGAACGACGGAGGAAAAACGTGCAAAAACCTCTCTCATCACCGGTTTGGGGGCGACGTGTTTCTGACGGTGCCCTTCGCCATTCAAAGAATGCGACAACGATGCCGCCCCCGGTGAGGCTGGCGATGCAAACTGTTGCTTGACACGGCGAACGGCTTTGGTCGCCGCCCGCACGTTCGGGGTGGTTGCCTCCACAGTTGGCCGCTTTGGCCCTTCATGTGCTTGTTCTCCACAACCCCCCAACTCTGTCTGCACCGTGTCGCTCACTGCATCGTCGGGCACACAGACGGAAACTCTAGGCTGGGTCTTTTGCCACTGTTCCTGTGGCTTTAGCGACGGTGACGGCGACCGCGCAGTGCTCTCTTCGCTGGAGTGCAGGCTTCTGCTTACAACTGACTTCCGCAGCTTCTCCCGCAAACGCGCCTGAACTGCCTGCAAAGGATCAAACCCGCTGCCCCGTTCCGGAGTCAACTGCGTCATTGGCGCTGCTGCGGCACGCACGTCAAAGCAACGCCCAAAACAAGAAGAGGCTGATTGGGGGGAATCAGACGAATATAATGGGGCCCTCCTCACAGGTCTGGCTGACGGCTGCTGAAAGGACGCGACCGACGTCACTGCAGCTCCGCAATATTGCGTTGTTTGGTCCGCCGGCGTCGAATCGTAATACGCGTGTCCATGCGGGGCCCCTTGCGTCCTCTCTTTTGACAAAAACGAAGCTGTCTTACTTACTTTGCAGCCGAGCCGCTGTGGTGTTGGGTGACAGCTCTCTCTCTGCGCCGCCTCACGTTTGGCCAACTCTACCAGGCGGTTCATATCCCCAGTTGGCGCGGGCACTTCACTCTTAACTGTGACGTTCTTGTTGACATCGCGCTCCACCAACGGCGACGTTCTTCGCCCAGCCTCTTTTATTGCGAAAACTGCGGGCGGGCACTCGGTGTCTTCATCATGCTGAAAACTCAGGCTGAGGTTTGCCAGACGATGGCGTACCTCATTTATTTTACTCTCCACCTCCGTCAACCGCGCTGAAGACATAAACCCGCCCCTCGCAAGCACGCAAAATGAAGTAAGAAATATAATGTGCCTGTGTAGGGAGGCGTGTCTAGACACGCGCAGCCATAACGAAAAACAAAGTATAAAAACAAGGCAAAAATAAAATAAAATAACAAGAATAAATAATAATCATAATAAAACAAAGAGACATGAATTGCAGCGGCATACGTAGATGCATTACAGATATACGACCGGAACATTATTATTATTTTGTTTCGTTTTTAAGACTTAACTTCAATGGGCGTTGGTGACATCAGCAAGCTGCAACAACAACAACAACAACAGCAGTACATGTTCGCAATGAACGCACCAGCCCATTGTCACCTAAACGCCACTCGCCTAATTTTAGCTTCCAGTTCCCACCACACTGGCAAAAATCGCTTTCCATGCTCCAGAGCATTGATGATATCCAAGTTATCAATAAAGTCACTCTCAAAAGCATTGCGTGTTGACTTCCTGCCGACGTGACGACGGTTCCCGTGCACCGCTTGAAGCATCTGGCGGTCCCCGCTAAGCACAATCACCGGCACATGCGTCATTGCCTGCGCAACCTGCAAAATCACGCCATCCGCCCCTTGTCGCTGGCCACCGCATGGAGTAAAATGACATCGGCCCTCAGAGACAAGTCGCTGCCAGATACTACGCCTTCTGCCAGTTGGATGCTGACATTTTGGGTTGCTCGCTTTCTTGGGGGTGCTTCGCAAAACACCCTCCGGACCCGGAAGTTCGCCGTGGTACCGCGCGAAGCAGGAGCCAAAAAAACACCACACAAACATATGCTCAATTACATCAAATCCTCCGTTCCTTATCGCCGACGTGGGGGGCGATCTGAACTGATTAAAGCCGTAGTTGTCCAAGTCAAGCAGCACCACAACCATCGCTTTATCACCGCTGCTCTGCCGCAACTTGGTCAACTGTGTGGAGACGCGCAGGGTTTCGCAGCGCACACAGTGGCACTCGTTGCTTAGCCACGAATCGCCATTTATAAGCCGGGCGTCGTACAATGACGTGGCGTCATCGGCTGTGCCTGCCACACACGAGAAGCCCACCTCACCCGGCCTATGCAAATGGACAACACCGGCCGGCGCACTGCCCTCCAGCTCGTCAGGGCAATCGTGGGAGTCACTGTCCTCAGCTAAACCGCGAGCACTGTCTCCATCCTCAAACTCAACCTCATCAAACATAACCCACAAGCGGCGAAGACTGCCTAGAAGGATGAGCCACGCCTATGAAACAGCGGATCCCATACATTTATATGCGCCCGAAAAAAAAAAAAGAGAGACAAAAGCAAACAAACAAACACAAAATAAAAATAAAAAATTAAAGTCAAAAGGCACAAGATCATAACATCCAACGCAGAAACAAAGTTAAGAACAAAAATAAAAGCGCAACACGGACACCACGATCATCTCCATGAACCAAACTCGGAGGTTTTTATGCGTTCCCATAGCGCCGCTTAAGAAACCGTCAGACAAAACAACTTTACTCGCCGTGTGACCGTTTTTGCCCCGCTTTCTTTCCAGTTCCTTCCACAGTACAATGACAATTACAGTGGGCATGGCACCCTTGTTCCAGGTCAACAAGTCCCACGTGGCGAGTGCCAAGTGCACCTCTTCCCTCACCCAAAAGGAAATCAATCCACGCATCCGTTACAAGGTCAGCCATAAAGGCTGGCGACAGCCGCCGCAATTCTCGATAGTGCGAATGTAGCGCAAGAACCAAATCCTCCGCGGTCACAGTACCGTCTTTTAAACGGCACAGTGAACGGCAAAGACAACTCAGCAGGCTGAGCATACACATTGTCCAATGCGACAAGATGGCGGTGTTGGTGTCCCCAGCAAGCTGATGCATCTGCGTAAAGCCTCTCTCCAGTGCAGGAAGCAATATTCGTCTTGCATCCATCGCAAATGATACCGCATCGCAAAGAAGCAACAACTGTACCTTTGAAACATCAGTCTGTACTGCAAGAAGAGCTGGGGTGAGGGCACACATAGGAGTACTAGCAGTCGCTGCAGTTGTCCCTGCGGCTGCCTCACAGCAGAGGTGTTGAATGCCGCTAAGGAAGGTGTTCACGGCGGTATATTGCACCCAATCACACACTTTTTTTTTTGCTTCCCCCTCCAACTGTTGTTTTACATCACTAGACAAACGCCGTGAGGCAACCGCAGTAAGATACACCCCAAGGCATTGCTGAACAGAGAAGCACACTGCCTTTACAGCCTTCAAGGCACTCATCACATCCGCTGCGGTTTCATCATGGCAATAATGAAACAACACCCACTTCAGGAGTTCGGTATGCCGCTCCAGCACAAAAGTCCAAAGGTCTGGATCGAGGAAGAGCGGAATATCGCCCTGTTGCCGCCTATGCGTGTATTTTTCAAACCATTGAAGAAACAGACGAAGGGCAACTCCTACACGTGCAAGATCCACCGTCGCGGGAAAAGGCTCATTATCCAATATGCGGCGCATTGTGAGGGCAAAAGCCAAATCCGGTCTACCCTCTTTTTCGTGCAGGCATCGGAAAAGAAGGTCACATAACTTGTTTCCGGCAGCATCGTAGAGGTCTGCGTCCGATGTTCCCCCCCTGTGTCGCTTCATCTCGTACTCAAACAAATCAAGAGCTTTGCGACACCACACCCCTTTGAGTGTATCCTGAGCCTTCTTCTCCAGCGTTCTTGTCTTCCCTTCGTTTACCTCAAAGGAGTGGTACTCGTCAAGGAGCCCTCCGCCCTCGAGATCAATCGAAGGAACGCCAAAATCTCGTTTGAAACTGCGTCGCACAAGAGCCTCCGCTGCCTTTTCATCCTGCTCCAGCAGGAAGGTGTCGGTAAGCCACTGACGTTCGCTTCTACCAACCATTGCGTAAGAGTCAAAGAGGTGTGCGGCGTCGTGAGCAAGACGTTGGAATTCGTAAAGTGCAGAGAAGCAGCGGCGTCTGAGACGAACGAGGGACAAATCAACGTCCTCGGTGCTGCCTTTTTCCTCCTCCTCCAACAAGGGCCCCCCACTGCCATACACACCACTTACACCGTCATCCACCTCGGATGCCGTGTCGGCGGCGAGAGACGCCAGATGCGACTCCAGGCGGGCGCCAACACTTCGCCAGCATCCCCAGAAAGCGACAGCGTAGCATTCTTGTTGCGATACAAACAATTGACGACACAGCGTGGCGAGGGGTCCTGCCTCGGCACTGGATGAATCACCCATGAAAAAGCACAGCCCTTCACGCCACTGTCGCCAACGACTAAGAGGAATCACCGTCAGTTGCACACATTTATAGTAAATATTGTGGTAGTGGCGCACAGACTCACACGCGGAATGAACCGACAAGGATGCCACAGTAGGCAAGATGGCAGTGTCATGCTTGGCCTTTTCCAGCGTCTCGAGTGCTGCCTCCCACCTCTTAAAGGAGAGGCAAGGAGGACCGCTTAGCAAGTCGGATCCAATGGAGCAAAACTTGTTTACCTCTTGTCGTGAGCGAATGTTGCGGAGGGCGGCCATTCTGTACTCAAGAGACGTTGGCAAACGTATAGCAGGATCCGCTCGTCTTGCTTCTCAAATGATGCCTGCCCGCTAAGCAACACAACCTCCAAAACACACAAAGCCCCAACAAAAAAACAAAAAAAAACAAAAAAAAGAATAATAGCAGCAACCAGGACACGACAATACCTTTGCAAACTGTCATTTTTACTGTTGTGTTTGCGTCATTTCTCTCTCGCTGTTTTTCATTCGAAGTGCTCCCAGTGTGAGCAGGTTCTATGCGCCTCAGTGAAGTTCTATATGTATGTAGGCAGCCACCCTTTTTCCGGTGGTGCGTACATGACGAAACAAAAAAAAACACATAAAGTTTAAACTGTAGAATTGTCCTCTCATTTCTTCGTGCACGCCATCTTCGTAAAGAAATCGGAAAGCTTCATCTGGACTCGTGGCTTCGGTGCTGCCTCACCATTCTTCGCCCCCGTCGTCACAGCCGGGGGGGTGTCAGTGTTCTTAACAACGTCAGCAAACAACGTGCGAGAAACAGGGCTTGCAAGAACCGCAGAGCGCGGCGGGCCACCGAGTGTGCCAAAGGAAGTGGAATACGCCCCCTGTGTCATTGGCGTGCTTGACGAGGTATTCCGCATGTCTTCGGGCGTACTACAAATATCCTGCGAGACGTCCACGACGCATTTAGCAACCGTCTTTGGTGAATTGTTTTGTCCATCCGAAAAATTAAGTGAAACCTGCGACGGCGTGAACCCGGAACGTCCTCGGAGTTGACGTGGAGAGGCGTCCACAAGCTTCACAGACGCTCGCTCCGCCCCAAACGCAAAGGCTGCCATCTTCTCCATACCATTTCCACCACGGAGCGGAATCTCAAGCGGGGCCGAGAACTCTCCGATAGTATTGATGCCTCTGCTGGAAATGTGTCCCTCCTCGCTCTCCTGCTGAGTCACCTCCGTTTCCTCCCTGTCCCTTGCTGTCGCTGTTTGTGTGTGATGTTCAACCCGCGTAGCCTTGCGCGGGGGAACGTAGTCCTCATCGTCAAGTAGCAACCCCATCCTTCGCACCTTCACCCGCGACAACAACAGTACGAAGTACAAAAAAAAACCGCCAAAGAGAAGCAATCACAAATAGTTCTATCCACAAAGTGCATCCCCTATTTTTAATCAAGGGGAGTTACTCACCGCCCACAGAAGAAGTAAGAAAGTGCGGGGGGCAGACACGGCGAGAGAACACCGTGGATGATGAGAGGGGAACAGATTACAGGCTCAAAGAATTAAGCGCCAAGGGCACAAGTACAGAAAGAGAAGCCGAACGTAAATAAGCCGCGTCACACGTGAAGACAATCATCACGAAGCGGCTCTTCTAGTGAGTCTAGTGTAAAAGCAGTCGTACAAAAGCCAGCTACCCAAAAAAAAAAAAGACGTGCTTCAACATTGATTGTACGGCAGTTCCCCCCCCCCTTTTTTTTTGTTTTTTTGTTTTTTAAGGGCGTCTAGTGGATTAAAACACGCAGCACCTCAGAAAAGTAGCGGCGACTTATTCAAAAAGGAATCCGCTGGGGAAGCCTCCAATGGCACATTAAACCCCTTGAACTCTGGCGGGGTACCGAAAAGAACCTCTCTGGACGTCTTTTTCGTTGACGATTGCATAATGGTAGAACGGTCATCAGATGAAAGCGTCGTCTTACCGTCCGTGGCGGTGTAGCCGTGCATCCCCGCTGCAAAAGCGGGAGAGACAGTTTTTGGTGTTTGCTGCCCCTCCGGCTGCAAGTGAGGTGCCCTTGCGTTGGTCTTCATCACAGAAAACTCATTGTGATGATCTACGGCACCATTTTTGGCCTCGGTGAACGAGGAGATGACGGCGGCGGCACGCCAGTCTGATGTCACCTTCTCCGTCTTACCACCCTTCTTTGCAACCGCAACAGCTCCGCCGCGTATAATCTGCATCCCCTTCGGTAAACGAGGATCCACCTTGACCTTTATGTGTCGCTGCGTCATCGCGTTGAAGTGGTCCACGATGCGCATCACTTGCTTTCGGTAATAGCGTTCAAAGTCCTCCGAGCTCTGCGGTTGAAGCGCCAACTCCGCCATCTCTGTAGAGATATTGTACCTCTTTTGTAGTGTGTAGTTGAGGCGGGCCCCGTGATGCTGCAGCGCGCTGGGTTCACGCGGGAACGTGCGAAGCCCATCAAAGTATTCCCCGCTGTTCGAAAGCATGACCCTCCAATCCTTATGTTTTCAGTGTTCCTGGTCTGCCAGACCCTTCTCTCTTTTTCCTTGTCTGATGTATGCCCTGTTGTGCGTGGGAAGGGGAAGGCTTTTAAAAAAGCCCCTGAAAGCAGTCCTTCCTTCCAAAGTGTAGCAGAGGCAATAATAATAATAAAAAAACAATAGAAAAATTAAAAGTAGCTCCATACACACACACCACACACACACACAGCAGGCGCGTGACTTACCCCACACAGGTTGCAGAAACCAAAAAAAAAAAAAATCATAAGCACCCTCCTACGCAAAGCATCTACAACAACTCCCTCACTTCATTTATCCTGTATCCAACCTACCCCAGACCATTCGAAGCTACAAACCCACTGGATCCGATTCATAAAGCATCGCAGAAGGAATTCCGCTCAAAAATAGCAATGCTCCGTTCGTCTTTAAACGTCAAGGCAAACCGCTCCCCTCCATCGGCAATGGTTGTACACATCACCCTGTTGGCAAGAGGCGTAGGCAGTCCATTGGGCATCGTCCCGTTATTGTCCTTCGCAGCTGGCAGCTTCCACCCCCGTTCAAAGGCAGCACTCAGCTCGACGAGAGTCGTGCGACCGCCATTCTCCACTTCGCAAACTAGTGCTTGAGGGTCCACACGGTAATATGCCAAGACATCTTCCCCAGTCACATGACCCCCAAGAAGAGGTTGCCAGACCGCTGCTGCACCGTCGTACAACCCGGTGACAACGGTGCCAGAAATATGATCCACCACAATGGGAAAGCGATCAAATATGGCCTCGTTCTCAAAAAGTAAATCCAAGTACGGTGAAATGTAATCCATAACAGGCGCAGTGGAGCAAGGCACATCTGGTCGACGCAGATCCCAGAGTTTCAATGAAAGATAGTCACGGCTCACAATATAGTGAGCGCCCACGAAATTAGCGCCAGATATACTACAAAGAACATCACTGTACGCCTCATACTTGGAAAGTGTGGCGTCCTCCACAACGCGAATGGAGGTGGCATACTGACATTGCGAGCGTGAACTTGTCTTGCGCAGGTCCCCTATGCCGAGGACTCCAGAGTTCTTACCAACCAAGAACAGGGAGCAGTGCGTAGGGCTAAAAGCAACGGAAGTGACCAATTCCTCCAAGTCGTCCATACACCCTGACGGAGGCCGGCAGTCCGTGACGCACACCCCCTTTGAAGGCTCGCAACTTTCCAAGTTCCACCAAAAAACTTGCAGGTCATCGGCGCTCAGAAAGGAATGACCATCCGCGCAAACGCTAAGGTCTTGCACAGGACTAGTGTGGCACCCTGCAAAAACGCGCGCAGGAAGAATGGGCGGTGAAGGTGTGGCACGAGAGAAATAGCGTGTTTGAGCGAGCTGCCTCCCCACCACTGCCTCCATGGAGGGAAACACATGAAACGGTGCAACTCCCTCGCGCTGAACCCGAAACAGCTTGATGACCCCCTCATTTGCAGTCAAGTAGCTTACTGTATGTGGAGACGCTTGAGGCAACAGAAAACGAACAACCTTGACGGCTTGGGAAATGGTAACCGAGGTGAGACAATCCATTTCCCGCACATACGCCTGATGACTGTGCTTTCGCACCGGCGGCCTATGAAACCCCGCAAGATCACGGTACAACATAGAATTATCTGAGGGAAGCGATGTGCTATAACTCATCAAATCAGCGTCGGTTTGACTGCGACTCCCAAGGGTGGCGTTAGACTTGCTCTTTTGCACATGCGTCATCGGGGATTGTGTACGCGTTGTGTGACACACATCTAGTTCCGAATAAGTGACGCGCCCATTTGCGTCACCAATGCAGAGGGCAAGAATAGGAGAGCCATGAACAGGGTCAGGCATCATACACATCGTCATTGTGCTGATGCAGCTCTCTACAGTCCCAATATCATTCCTCACAACACTGCGGGTGACTCCATCCTCCAGACTGTCAGTGGCGTGAAGTTCTCCCGTTGCCTCATATACAGCATCATCATCAACAGCTTCTCGCACTAAACTTCCGCCACAGTCATTCACTAATGTTTCTGGCATATCCAATGGATAGTGTAATTTTTGCAGCAATTTAAATGATTTGCCTGCAAAGGGCACAGAATGGTGTAAAGCCAATTCCATTTCATCTGCTTCTTTGGCATTGGCAGTGTAATTGGGCACCCGTGCCTTCACGGTGTTTCTGCTTCCAACAGCTCCTGCCAAGGCTGAATGTGTATTGTTTGCCCCAAATCCGTACTGCCCTGTGCGGTTGCTGCCAAAGATATTTGCTGATCTGCCGTCCACCGCGTCAACGATCTCTGATGTTCCCTCGTCTAGTCTCGGTGTGGCTGCAGGAGAACTCTGCAAGGAGCGTCCCTCACGACGTCGTTGCGGCACCTCACTGCCCGCGCAAGAGGAGCGACATGACCGTGGCGAACGTAGCAATGATTCACGTGTCCGGTGTGGAGCCTCACTCTCTGCACGAGAGCTTCGGCATGACAAGAACACCTCCGCCTGAAGCTCCTGAATCTCCGGTGAGGGCGAATTCACACCATTTTCATCTGACATTCTGACGGCCACTTCTCCTTTGCTACTCCCACACTGACGCACGCACTCCTCTCACTCTCCACTGGACGGGAAGCAAAATAATTAGGTACTCTTCCCGGGATCTCCTCCCACCCCAGCGCCCAACAAACCACACAAGTCCGATAACTCCTTTACTTCTTACACAAGTCAGCTGAATAAAAACAAAAACAAAAACGCACATAAGATAGAAAAGTTTTTAAAAAAATCAGTGGCAAAACATTTAATTCTTTTAGAAGGTTGATGTAGGGGAAAACAAGGTAAAAATAGAAAGAGCCGTAGGGAGCTAAATCGGTTGAGCAGTCACGTGAGCAGCCGCTCAAATCACCCCCCTCACCCCCCACATCAACAATCAAGAAAAAAAAAACATAAAACGGACTTCTTTAACGTGTTGGTAGCAGTTGATGTCTAGTTTGCCACTTCACCCCATCCAAGCACACCCACTTTCCCGCACACAGGAGAACGCCCCTCATGCCGCCCAGTCACAGTTCCCCATACTGCTGCCGGACAAGAGCGAAGCTGGAGGCCATTCTTGCCACATACTCAGGCTTACGAGTTGTTTGTGGACGAAACGTGCTTTGCATCACCTCGTTGTGTTCCTTTAGAGCGTCCTGCTCCCTCTTCAGCTTTGCCATATGCTCCTTTCGCCGTCTTAGACATTCCTCGTAGCGTGGGTAATTCTTCGAGGTCAACAGGGACTCAACACGTGCATTGCGAGCATCATTAAGGGTGGGACGAAACGGGTAATTTACTTCCTCCGCAGCCGCTTTTTCTTGCTTCGTCCTCCGCCGCTCACGCAGGCGCACACTGTCCTTCGTCATTTCTTCCACACCACGGGGCGCCATGGCTCTGGAGACCGCAGTAATCTTCGGTTTGAAGGTACATGGATCAACGTAATGAGAGCGATGCTTCTTCACTGCTGAAGCAAGCGCAGACACGTTATTGGAATCCAGCGGAGTGATGGGACTGCGGGCGATTAACTCCTTGGCAAGCTGCACGCTGTGCTCACTAATTACAGGCCTAAAAGACGGCGTCAACTTCTTTTCCAAATTCTGCACACTACGAAACCGACTTCGATGGTGCTCATTTTGACGCTGAAGAAACTCGTCAAAGCACGCCATGCGGTATTGTCGTTCGTCCCGAGTGATCTTTTTCGCCACTTCTAACCTGTCTGAATTATTCATGCAAGCATCCGCTCGCATCTTTTGTGCCAGTGGTGATTGGTAGTCTGTTTCTATAAAAATGGACGTGTAATCCAGCCTTGGCCCAAGCACGTTGTGAAGAAATAACTCAAAGGTGTCTTCCTCTGCACCTGCAGCTGTCACTCCATCGCAGCGTTCACGAAGAGATTCTTGTTCGTCCCTTTCAAGTAACTCTATCTCCTCCCGCAAGCGAGCACCACGTAATTTATCGGCCCGATCCTGCAGTGCTTGCGGATACAGCCGTTCAAACACATTGCTCTTGTCCAGTAATGATTTTTGGAAGAGTGCGACAGAGTTTGCGGAGACCTGTGGGTGGAATGTGCACGCTGAGAGCTCCCTATTCCGAACCTCCGCCTCGGTTTGCTGTCGTTTCTCTCTTGCCCGTTCTTCCATCCGCTGCGTCACCTCAAACGATTCCTCGTAGAAGCTGTCACGAATATCCGAAAGATCTATGGTTGGCTCATTCTTCCGTCTGGGATCAGCACAGTCTGGCATGACTGCAGCACTTAAGTTCGGCACGGGGCGTGCATCAACGTAATCACCTGAGCGTCGCAGCTCTCTAACCACTTTATGCAGTTGCCGCTGGTCATCTTCCTCTCCTGCCCCGTGGACTTCTATCGTTTGCTCTATCTTTTCTTCCTCATCCTGCGTAACCTCTCGCAACTCAGGTCGAAAGTGCGAATCCGTGCGTAGCCTATCCTCTAACTGGAGCCGCAGTTGCTCCAACGCCGTGTATTGTGTGGAGGCCCACTTCTTTGACTCATGGGTGTCTCCGCGTTTCTTAAGAGGCGTTCCTGAAGGAGCAAAAGCGGCAGGGGCAGCAGACTCCAACGCATCAGACAGAGCAGGGTTGGCGTCACGCTCTCTTGAACGTCCATGCCAGTGTAATAATTTTTTTTCCTGCTCGCTGTAGATTATACCGAGAAGGCCACGCACGTCATTCCTTCGTCCATGCCTCTCGCTCGTCCCATCTGTGGCTTCACTCCCCGCACGCAACTGCACACCACCGTAGAAGGCGTCCAGGTTCAGCTTCTTGGACACCGTCCATCGACTGCTGAGGGGAGACCCAGAGGCATCCTCCGTGCCGCCGGTCATGCAGCTCTTAAATGTAGCATCATTCTCCTCGTCACTCGCCGTTTTCAACGAGCGCGGCGATACCCCTTGACGGTGCTCCACCGTCAGCGACTGTTCAGAGTCAGAGGCGCAGAAAAACTCACGCATTGCCAACTGCAACGGCCTGAGGTAACGATGAGGAGAGGCACAAGGAGCGGTAGGCGCAAAAGAGTGAGAAAAAGAAACACAATACATGTACGTATACATATATACATATATACCGTGAGAAGGGAGGGTACAAGAAACATTTGAATTTAGGACACAAGACGCACAGGACAAAAGGGAAGGGTGGGGGAGGAAGTGAGCAAGGCACGCCAGCACATCACCAACCTTCCAAACCACCAGCCGAAAACCCCAAGAAACTGCAAAGAAAAAAACCTGTTTATTTCCACCTTTGTTTTCTTCTCTTTCTTTCTTCTTCCATGCTTGGCTTGTCGTTACAAGTTGATGATGCCCGAAATTTTGTGCAAATTGCGACGATTAACCTTATCACATGCATCCCTATATTTTTCGTATTGCTGGCGAGCCGTTGTAGAGAGGGAATGCAGAAATGACTCTCGCTCGCCGTCGCTCAGGCGCATGCACCAGCCTGTATAGAGCTCCACAAAATCGTACGGAAACCCAAGTTCCTCTTCGTCCGTCTGCCCATCCCAAAGATCTGCCGAAGGAGGTGCCTGAAGCGTTTTTACTGGCACGTCAAGCTCCCGTGCCACCTGAAACACCTCACTCTTGTGTAGGTCGGAGATAACCTGCACATCAACGACACCGTCGCCTGCCTTGCAAAAATAACCCAAGTAACCGTCCTCATCCATATTCCCTGTACCCATGACAATGGCCGGAGTTCCGCCTTGGCTGTATAGCTGCGCCACGTAGTACGCTGCTGGGGTGCGCATATAGCTTCGTAGCTGTCCTCTGGCAAAGTCTTTACCGTCTATCCCAACAGCTGTCTCAATGGTCGTTGACAGCTGTTTGAAAATTTCTGTCTGATCCACAACAACCTCCACCGCCCCGCAAGAGCGAATGTTCTCCTGTCCTCTCTCAAGAGCCCAGGCACTACTGCAAATTGGCTGACAGAGACCAATATTCTTCACAATGGGGCTGTTAGGCATTTGCATCGCCCTTGAGCACAGGGCCACCACCACCGCGGAGTCAATTCCGCCAGAAACATTCGTCACACACACCTTAAGTCCATTGGAGGCCATATAGGCGTTCAGAACAGCACACTTGCGCTGAATCCACGCGGCGGGGTTGAAGCCACGCTTATTGCGATATTCTACAAGCCTTCTATGAAGCTCCTTGTGAAGGGCAAGGTCGGAGCTCATGAATATTGCAATACTATGTGTCAATATACCTGCAACATTGCCGTGGTAGTCAGACCGCAGTGAGAACAACAAGAACAACGGGAAATATAAAAAATTGTTGCTGGTGATCCCACCGTCAGGCACACAAACAAACAAATCAGACCACCAACACCATGGTACAATCCAAGTTTGTTTCAAAAGCGGATAAGTGTCAATATTGTAAGAGATACATTACTCCATTTCGTACTATACATTGCTGAAGACACACACAAAAACAACAATATCAAACGCAAATGTGTTTGATATCGAACTTGCCAAAGTGCTCAGGAAATTATACATATATATATATATATATATATATATAATAGAGAGATAAAGAATAAAAAAACTAAGCAATAACAGCACATGAGTTCCCAGAAGGAAAGTAAAAAACGCACCGATGAAGCAAATACAAAAAAAAAAATGAAAAGAGAAAGCCAGTAAACTAACGCACCCTCAGCAGTACATATATAGCAAATAATACAGGCGGAGAATGTAGATGCACTGACTACATAGATCGGCTGGTGGGGATACACCAATAACTGTGGCACCGCAAAATGTGTCAAAAAGGACATATTTCCACGCTCAAACCACTTTCTCCCCCTTTTTATCGCCTTGTCTGTGTGGGTCGTTCTCGTTTCTTCAACATTTTTCTTCCTTTTCACCACACAACAAAAAAAAATGGTCCTCACCTTATTTATACATTTCAAAGTTCACCCTGGTTAGCACCAGCATTCACATCAGTGCCCGAATTACCTGCCACAGCTGCCCCAGGTTCTTCAAGATGAGTTGGGTCAACTTCAACTGGAAACCCCACGCCACCGGGAACCTCGGCAGTAACCGCCTCATCATGAGTCAGCTTCTCTGCTGAAGGCACCTCCTTACTTGGGCACTCAGCGGCGTTCTGAATTACATCATCAGGCAAAGCATCACCCTCTTGATCAGCGTTGTGTAGGGAATCTGGTTCATGGACTGCTGGCGCTTGTTCTTCAACAGGATATTGAGGAACGTCTTGGTCAGCGTGGTGTGCGGAATCTGGTTCATGGACTGCTGGCGCTTGTTCTTCAACAGGATATTGAGGAACGTCTTGGTCAGCGTGGTGTGCGGAATCTGGTTCATGGACTGCTGGCGCTTGTTCTTCAACAGGATATTGAGGAACGTCTTGGT